CACTCCTATATTTAGATCCTCCCAAAAGAGAGTTTGCTCTCTGGCCTATAACCAGATAAGCATGGATTGATACCAGACAAACAATTAAGCAGAAAACGATACCCTAATGAAAAAAAACAACAGAAAGAGAGGAAAAAAACATATCCCAACAAAAGGCAAGCTACTGTATATAAAGAGAGAGTAAACTTCCCTCCTTTCTAGCACTGATAATGTTCCCTAGTTGGAAAATGAAACATCTGCAAGAAAACCACGAAGCTCAGAGAGCAACAAGGACCACCACAGTCTTCCTCCTCCTCCTCATTTTCCTCCTCTTCCTCCTTCCTCCTCTTCCCTTCTAGCACTGATAACGTTCCCTAGTTGGGTCATGAAACATCTGCAAGAAAACCATTAAGCTCAGAGAGCATCAAGGATCTCACTGTCCTCCTCCTCCTCCTTTCCCCAAAGCCTCCTCCTTCTAACACTGATGATGTTCCCTAGCTGGGTCATGAAACATCTGCAAGAAAACCACTAAGCTCCATAGTTCTCTCCTTCTCCTTCTCTCCTTCTCCTCCAATACCCCACTCCCTCCTAGCAGTGATGATGTTCCCCAGCTGGGCCATGAAACGTCTGCAAGAAAACCGCCAAGCTCAGAGAGGACCAAGGACCCAACAATTCTCCGTCTCCTCCTCTCCTTTCTTTCTCTTTCCTTCCTCCTCCTCCTCTTCTCCACAAACACCATCCCCTCCTAACACTGATGATGTTCCCCAGTCGGGTCAGGAAACGTCTCCAAGAAAACTGCCAAGTTCCAAGAGCACCGAAGACCCCCACAGTCCTCCTCCTCCCCCCTCCCCAATCCTCCCTCTTTTCTAGCACTGATGATGTTCCCCAGTGGGGTCAGGAAACATCTGCAAGAAGTCCAGGAGGGACCCCACAGTTCGACCCTGAGCTACAAATATTCTCTTCCGAGAGCCGAGGTGGCGCAGTGGTTAAATGCAGCACTGCAGGCTACTTCAGCTGACTGCTAGTCTGCAGTTCGGCGGTTCAAGTCTCACCGGCTCAAGGTTGACTCAGCCTTCCATCCTTCCGAGGTGGGTGAAATGAGGACCCGGATTGTTGTTGG